TGACGCAGTGTTGCTTGTCTGTTAGAATTTACGACTCTTTGCAGACGTCGCCGGTCTCGGTCGTTAAGTGTAGGCGGTCGACCACTGCGCTGTCCATGGTGGGATGTTATGCCTGAAATTTCATACTCTCGGCGCACTCTTGACACAGTGGATCTGGAAATGTTGAATTCCCTAACGATTTACGAAATGGCATGACCCATGCGTCCAGCTCCAACTAAAATTCCGCGTTCAAAGTCTGTTAATTCCCGTCGTGCTTTCATCATCACGTCAAAACCTCTTCACACGAATAACTTGAACAGAAATGAAAGCTCTGCGAAAGCACTGCGCCTGTTCTACGCGATGCTACTGCCATCTGAAAATTTGCATATTGCTATCCCATGACTTTTGTCACTTCAGTGTAAGTATTATTATAACTAGGTATTATTTCGCAATGCATTTTATTGGAAAATTTTTTAAAGATACATTTCAAAACATTAGTGAACCAAGATTTGATAACTTGATATTGAGAAACTGGAAGCGTTGTTGGTAAGAAATTAAGTGACTGGCCCTTTGTTCTAACTTTAGACAAAATGGAAATTTCCAAAATCAGGAATAAGTTTTTGTAATCATCATTACAGCGAGTGAGAAAGCTGCCTTCAAATCTAGTGTATCGTATAGGAAGAGCACAAAAAGTACTCTTCATAAATAAAGTATCATAAAAAATCGTTATTATCGTTATTTTTAATCGTTTACTAATTCAACTGCTTATGGGAGTTTAAATATCAGAATTTCGTTATTAATTTCAACTATAAATGTAGAAAAAAATGAATATCATACCTTAATTATAATTCAACAATAATTTTGTATTAAAAATAGAAAAAAAAAAGTAGCACATTGAGATCACTAATTAAGAAAACTAACATGTCAGTTTCAAACCAAAAAAAAAAAAAAAAAAAACCCTCCCCTTTTCAAGTAGATGCTGAAAACCTAATTATAAACTTTAAATACAGAAATAAAGAGATTTTTTAAGGAACCTTGTTTTATTTTGTTTTCCATTCTTTAAAAAATGAAAACTTCTTTTAGCAGAAGCAGTGTCTTCTGGAGTATCACTGTAGAACACTGTTTCAGGGAAAACCGCTATACTATCTACTATCTAACTCAGGGGTGACCAACCCAAATGATCTTTCGGGCCACTTTGGAAATGTATCCTAACTCCGCGGGCCGCATATAAAGTTATATATCCCCCTATTCAATTTAGACCTATTATAGACATTTTTTGGAGTGAAAAATTGAAACGGAATGAGTTATTATTTTTATGTTTACTATTATTCTTACATGTAAACATAGATAATATAATAATAGTAAAACTAAACGCACATTGTAAAGAAATATATAACACTAAAAGGAAATATAAAAAATTTATAAATATGAACGAAATAAAAAAATGAAATTATTAAAAAATACTTATTTTACTAGTGCGATATTTGTTTCTCCAGTCTTTCACTTAGCTTTTGCAAATCGATGAGCTCGCATCATGAGTTCGCAGAATATAATTTAATTATTCTGCGAACTCGTAACAGTAAACTCATACTTGAAACAGTCAATATCTATCCTATATTCGTAAGAATATTATTTTAAAATCAAAGTTAATTTTTTTTCATAATTTTGACAGTTAATAATATGATTAACAGTTAATATCCATAGTTAATATATGGATGTACAAATAATGCATTTTTTTTAATACATTGGTTTTAACTACTTTGGCCATTATAAATAAATATACCACTGATCTAACTTTTTTTGCCACATTAAAAACGCTTTGCAATGCCTCTAGAAAATGAGTGAGTTAATGATGAAGAATTATAGAAATACAAAGTTCACAAATAATGCAATTGAATGAGTTCATATACAATTCAAAATGTCAAATATAATTAAATATGAAAGAATAAATTAGTAATATTGCTATCTAGTATTCCGATCACCAGTGAACCTAAATTATAGCACAATTTTTCTTTATTAGGACAATCTATTAGAATTATATTAAATTATGTAATCGAAATTGTAAATTTATTAGATCAAGTATAAATCCATTCTTTTAGAATAGTTAAATCAATTAAGATGAAAAACATTGTTCCCTTTAATTGGATACAAATCATGTTCTTTTTTCCAGTTTTATGTTTTTAATTAAATATTAGTAATTAAAGAAGTGTTTAGAATAATAAGTTAGATTATTCTAAAATTTTTTCAAGGGAGTTTTATGGATGAGAAGGTTAGTTAGTTAGTTTTAGAATAGTTATGTCAACTAAGATGAAAAACATTATTCCATTTAATTGAATAGTTAGTTAGTTTGGAATAATTATGTCAACTAAGATGAAAAACATTATTCCATTTAATTGGATAGTTAGTTAGTTTTGGAATAGTTATATCAACTAAGATGAAAAACATTATTCCATTTAATTGGATAGTTATTTAGTTTTAGCATAGTTATATCAACTAAGATGCAAAACATTATTCCATTTAATTGGATAGTTTAGTTTTAGCTTAGTTATATCAACTAAGATGCAAAACATTATTCCATTTAATTGGATAGTTAGCTAGTTTTAGAATAGTTATATCAACTAAGATGAAAAAATTATTCCATTTAATTGGATATAAATCATGTTTATTTTTTTTTTTCAGTTTCGCAAATTTTAAATATCCATGCAATATGTTTTTAAGTAAGATTTAGTATTTAAAGAAGTGTTTAGAATAATAAGTTACATTATTCCAAAATTGTTTTCAAGGGGTTTTATGCATGAGAAATTTAGTTAATTAGTTTTAGCAGTTGTGTCAACTAAGATGCAAAACATTATTCCATTTAATTGGATAGTTAATTAGTTTTAGCATAGTTATGTCAACTAAGATTCAAAACATTATTCCATTTAATTTCATTGTTAGTTAGTTTTAGAATAGTTATATCAACTAAGATGAAAAACATTATTTCATTTAATTGGATATAAATAATGTTCTTTTTTTTCAGTTTTACAAATTTTAAATAACCTTGCAATATGTTTTTAACAATTTGAACTAAGTAAGATATTATTAGTTAATAAAGTTCGTAGGATAATAAATTACATTATTCTAAAAAAATTTTCAAGGGAGTTTTATGCATGAGAGACATAAGATACTTTATCCAAATGTTCGTGAACTGGACAATTTGTTTGATAACCTGATATTGAGAAACTAGAAGCGTTTATGGTAACAAACAAAATGGCTGACCCTGTTTCTAAGTTTTGATAAAATGGAAATTGCCAAGTCAAGAAAAAGATGCTGTAGTCATCCTTACAAATGTGAGAATAAAATTCATTTTATTAGAAAATTTATGTCAACTAAGATTAATTAAGATGAAGAACATTATTTTATTTAATTGAATATAAATCATATGTAATTTTTTCCAGTTTTATAAATTTTAAATATCCATGCAATATGCTATTAAGATTTTGAATCGAGTAAGGTATTATTATATAAAATAATAAATTATATTATTCTAAAATTGTTATCAAGGGATTTTTATACATGAGCAAGTTATGTCTGGGGAATTGCGAAAGCAAATATATTTTTTGTACATCGTGTTGCACAAAGTATAACAGATGCCTCAGAAAAAGAGTTTCATTTGTAGAAATGTCTAGAAAGTAGGAAAATATGTAAATTTAAAAAAAAAGGAAGCAACTATTTCACAGGAATAGAATCTGAGATTGCAGATTGCTATTAAGATTTTAAAAACGAACGACAACCTGTCTAAAAGGTGCTGTATCATATGGAATAAATGATTTGCGACTCGAATAATTGCACTGACATCTTTAACCTTTCCAAGGATAAATTTGTCAAAGTGCGTATGAAACACTCAATATTATTTCCTTTCATTTATTTTATATCGATAACAATCCAGCTACTCTGACACCTTTTAAATAATAAGTGTAAAAAAATAAATGACATTTTCCTCATATGCGGATGTTGAGCATTAGTAGCAAATTAAAACTTAAAATATTGCATACGAGCCTGAATGGCCGAGTGTCTAGCGGTCTGGCGTTCGGTGCCACAAGTTTCGGGTTCGAGTCCCGGAGGTGGCATGGATGTTGAGCATTAGTAGCAAATTAAAACTTAAAAGATTGCATACGAGCCTGAATGGCCGAGTGTCTAGCGGTCTGGCGTTCGGTGCCACAAGTTTCGGGTTCGAGTCCCAGAGGTGGCATGGATATTTGTAGTGGTTCGAATCCACTTTAAACCATAGGTCCTGGACTCATTTGACTGTAAAGAAAGTCACGGAGCCCAGTCAGACTTCTACCTACGGGTGCTCCAGCACAACAGAAGCTGCCCCCTTTTTCCCTCCATCCATGAGTAGATTACTCATGGGTTATCCGTCCCGCACTGCAGGACACTGAGGATTACTCACAAACAAACAAACAGATTGCATACATTCAGAGCAGGCAAAGATTCTCTACGTTTTTCACAAGCGTAGCAAGTTTTTTCATAACATCTTACAGAGTTTTTAAATTGTATGAGGATAAGGACCTACAGAATCTTTTAATTGCAATTTTATGAAGCACTATTAATCGTATAGCAAATTTATCTCTTTGTCTATATATAAAAATTGCTGTATCAATGTGTGTATTTTCCAGCGCGGGGCCTGATGGCCAGAGTGGCTAGCGCCCTGGCGCTCGGTACCACAGGTTTCGGGTTCGAATGCTGGTGGTGCCAAGGATGTTTGTAGTGTTTCTGAATCCACTTATAACGTAAGTCCTGGTCTAATAAGATCGTAGAGTGTTGCGGCGGCATTGTTATTACGCGGCCATAGTTTATCTTTAAGTTACACGCGCCCCTTGTGTAGTGCCAAGTGAGTAACGTCAGTGCAGCCGTTATGGCATAAAAGATCATGGTCCATTATTGCCAGCCGTATTAGAAAGAAAATTATCCAGCGTAATTTGAAAGCTGTAAACCTGAGAAGTTCAAATTTTCTTTCTTTGAATTTATTATCTCGATAGTACCTTTGATGTAGTGGTTATCACATCTGCCAATCACGCGGACGGTTCCAGGTTCGAGACCTGGTGGGACAATATGCAATTTTTTGGGGGCCTGATGACCGAGTGGCCAGCGCTTAGTAGTCTCAGTTAAAGTGCTTGGTTTTCCTTCTAGCATTAAAATAAACTAATGGATGACATCACTGTAATCTTGAACAGAGCAGTTTATCACATGAAAAACAAATTCAATTAAAAACGCTTCATTTTCTATAACCAAACAAATCCGGATCAGATCTGCTAATATATTTTATCTGCTAATATTATTGCGAGTTATTTGCTCTCAATATTGAGAGATTTTTGGGAAACAGCTCATAAACATTCAAATGTTTTCAATACAAATAAACTAAATGGTCATATATATATATATAATGTCCTTGAAGAGTTTAAATTAGCAGGCTCGGTCAAAGTGTCCTTCTAACATTGAAATAAATTAACGGATAACGTCACGGTAATCTTCATTGCCGTGATGTCACCCATTTAACTTATCCATTTATCTAGTTAATTTATCCACCCAACCATTTATTTTTTTTATCCATCCATTTATCTATTTAATTTATCCATCCATCAATCTTTTTTTTTTTTTTTTTTTATTCCATAAGCATTTTATCAGAAGAAAAAACAAAATAAACTAAAAATGTTTCATTTTCTATAACTGGATCAGAACAGCGATGTCATCACAAAGCTGACATGTGAGTTATTTGCTTTCATTGTTGAGAGATTTTTAGGAAACAGTTCATAAGCAGTGTCCAAATATTTTCAATACAAAAAATTTTCATTAAAAAAGGTAAATGTTCATATATATATACACACACACACTCAAGAGCCAAAACATTATGACCGCCTGTCAATAACGAGTTGGCCCACCTTTGGCGCGCAACACAGCTACAATCCGCATTGACATGGATTAATACCACCACTTAATACCAGTTAAATACCACTTCCACCTGATCACGTGCCTTCCACGTCATCCAGGCGAGTTCATTGCAAAAATGTAGGGGTGGTCATAATGTTTTGGCTCTTGAGTGTATATATATACATATATATATATATATATATATTATGTCCTTGAAAATGTTAAATTAGCGGTCTCCGGCATGATGTTTTCCGTCTAACATTAAAATAAACTAATGGATGATATCACGCTAATCTTGAACAGAACATTTCATCAGAAGAAAAACAATATAAAGTGCTTCTTACCAAATGTTAAGCAATTTATAGTTCTTCGCTTTAACTGACGGGAAAAAAAAATAGCTAATGCTTACGCATTATTAAATACTACAAACAAGCGACAAGATCAATTTGTCGATTCAAGATATTCATTGAGACGTGACCTCAGAAAAAGATTCATCATTTGTCAGACATCATGACATTCAATTTTATTTATCTGTTCTAGTATTCAAATATCCGTTTTGAAATAGTATGAACTATTGCATCGTGAGCATAAGTAAGCATTATTAAAGTTAATTCATTTTTCGAACGATTTTACTCACGAATAGTTATTATCTTTTTTTCTGTAAGATCTAGTATTTAATTTTAATACACATTCATTACATTATATTTCTATTTAATTAATGGCAAATCCACATTAATTAATTACGCTGAAAAACAAAAAAGCAAGTGTTCATTTATAAGTATTTTTTTTTTTTTTATTTCCAATGGCAATTCAATACAGAACGGGGAAAGATGCAGAACTAAAAAAAAAAATGTACGCAAAAGATTTCAACAAAGTTGACCGAAATCATCGCCTTAAGAGTTATCTGGCTTGCCAGTATCTCGCCGTCTCGGATTCGCCATGAAGTGCTCCACAACTATGGAGATGAGTTCGGTTCATTAGTTCGGTCAAATCACAAAGGGGACAGTTCGGTTTGTCGAAAATCCCAATGCGATGTAGATGTTCGCCCAAACATTTGCGACTTGTTAAAAGTTGGAACTGAGCAACAGCTACACAAGCCTTTGGAACTGTGAGAAGATCCTCAACTTTCCATCGATTTTTCTGTATTCGGTCAAGAAACTGTTAATTTATAATTTCTACACTTTGACCCGGGGTGAAAAAGCTCTGTGCCAGACATTTCACTCTCTCGTTTTGATGCGAACTTCATACTCCGATTCCAAAAAGAAGAACCATTTTTAGTTTAGAATCATTTTGCACCACTGTAGTTTATTTTGCTAGCTTCGGAATCGTTCTTTTCTTTCAAGGTCGCTAAAACGCGGTACTTCGAAACGATATAGTTTTGGTTTGTTTATAACTCTGCCCTCCCCTTTCCTTTTCCCTTTCTCTTCAGCCAGCCAGAAGTTTTCGTGGTTTCGTAGCGGTTATTTTTTAACTCCTCTTAATTGCCACAGTTTTTATTTTTAAATACTTTTGTGAACTATTATTTTAAATTTTGTATTTACTAACCTTTTTACTCCTGTAAATTTTCTCCGAGCATGGGCTCGTTTAATATTCTTTCTTTAGCTCATCTTTTTTGGATTTTAAAATTATGTTTTTAATAATAATTATTGTTATGGAGGTACGGGAAATTCCCTGGTACTCCAACTAAACACCTACCGTTACGTATAATTTCTAATCATAGTCAGTTTAATATACAGCTTTTTAGAATAGTATGGTAATGTGGAGCATCTTGATTGGAATAATCTAGGAACTCTTTCTTGCAATTAAATCCTCTTGTTCGATCCCAAAAAACTCCACAATGTTCAGGTATCCACTGGTACTTACGTATTAACGGTACCTTGGCGACAGTTGCGCCAATAAAAGTGCACACGCGCCAACCGCAGCTACAGATTTGGCGCCAATCTACACTTAAAATTTTTATTCCAAATAACAAAATATATATGAAATACTTCATTTAAAATCAAAACGCTTTCAAAATATTTTTATTCCAAATAATAAAGATTGGTGACACTTAAAAACCGCCAAGTCTGTCGCCAAGGTACCGTTAATACGTAAGTACCATCCACTGAAGCACAAGCTGTCTCTTCCCCAAAGCCAGCCTTTGCAAGTAATTCTGATATTGAAAGACTGCATGTGTGAGTTAGATCAGTTCTTTTTGACTGAGACAAATCAACAGCATTCCATTGCAGGACACACAGGCCAATTGAATAAACGTTAGGATAGCAGCTAGAGCTCATTTATAAATGTAATTAATGATTTTTTTTTATTCAAATTCGCTGCCCTTATACATGAGATGATTTACCACGATATATATATATAATCTGCCACTATTTTCATAATTTAAAAAAAAAAATGCCGTAACATAATAATCTTTGATTCTTTTTATGCATAATTTTTTTTAAAATCATTTATGAGATGAAAAATTTTAATTATAGAAATAGGAAAATTTTAGTGAAAATACAAAAAGCATATTGGCTTTTAAATAAAATAAAAACTTCGAAACTTTTTTAACACATTTTTATGTGGTCAATAAATAAAAAAAAATAATAATATAAGTACAAAGGGAAATGTAATAAGTATTGAGCAACATTCACAGCGCAGTGTTGGACTTATTTGGATAGTCCAATTTTTATGATATTTTAGTGAAAGTAATTAAAAATAATTTTTAATTATTCATTACCAAAAAGCATTTATTGATAGATTATGATATTAATTTTGAAAGATTATGATTTTTATGATATTTTAGAGAAAATAATTAAAAATTATCTACAAAAAGCATTTATTGAAAGATTAAAATAATACGCCATTACTGATCTTACTCAATCATAGATATTAATTCCTCCTCCAAGATCAAAATAAAGGAGCATGTAGTCCTTACAAATCTCAGATTTTCCTTTTCTTCAATTTGTGATTCTCCCTTTCCAAAAAGTTACATTTTATTTTGTTGTCGATAATTCATTTGAGATGTTTTAATAACATTCCCATTTTATGACCCTATTTCTTCTGTGACGGGTTTCTTGGCGGCGTTTGGCGATGTTTTTCTCCACACATGAACAATGGGACGGAAAGATCTGGAATCAGAATTAATCACCTCTTTGTTCCGGCCTAATTGGAAATAAAAGTATAACAAGGTATAATTTGGCTTAATTTCAGTAACTATAACAATGAAGCTTATGTCTTTATAAATTGATCATTATTTAATATATAGGAGATTATTTAATATATAAATCAATCGATTTTACTTAATGGGCAATTCAATTGGTTGAGTAATTACGGTTTAAATAGAGGAATTTATTAACCCTTCAATGCACATATTTTTTTCATCCTGAAAAAACGGATGCGCTTCTAAATTATATTCTATGGAGTCGAAGAATTGTTTCTTTTTAAATATTCGACAAACAGATTAACTCTTATGATCTTAAGAAAGGAATTAAAGTCTCAGATAATAATGAAATGAAATGCAAACATGCGAAAACAGAATTATATTTATGAATTATTAAAAATTTAGTAAGAATTTTAACCGTATGATATCATTTTACAAGGCAAGGCATGTTGCTGTTCTTATATCATTTTACAAGGCAAGGCATGTTGATATTCTTGTCGATATCATTATACAAGGCAAGGCATGTTGATGTTCTTGTCGATATCATTTTACAAGACAAGGCATGTTGTTGTTCTTGTCAATATCATTTTGCAAAGCAAGGCATGTTGATGTCCTTGTCGATATCATTTTGCAAAGCAAGGCATGTTGTTGTTCTTGTCCATATCATTTTACAAGGCAAGGCATGTTGATGTTCTTATATCATTTTACAAGACAAGGCATGTTTATATTCTTGTCGATATCATTATACATGGCAAGGCATGTTGATGTCCTTGTCGATATCATTTTGCAAAGCAAGGCATGTTGTTGTTCTTGTCCATATCATTTTACAAGGCAAGGCATGTTGATGTTCTTGACATTGTGTGTTCTAATGAGGAGTCACAAATCACATCCTCTCATATTCTGGGGTCTAGTGAAAAAATTAAAGGTGGTCTAGAGTTTGGGGTCCAGAAGGTTTTCTAATTAATCTGTTTCTTCAATCATTTTAGTCTTGAAAATTACCAGCTAGTAAGTACTCAATTAACTACAAGTAATTGAGTACTT